TGCCCCGTGTCCCCGATCCCCTGCCCGGCTCCTGCCCCAAGGGGCACTCGGAGGACAAGGGGGCACTTCAGGGGAGGCTGAATTGAAGCTGCAAACTGGGCTGGGTGGAGGGAGGAGAAGTGGGCTTTAAGGGGGAAACAGGCTATTCCCACTCCCAACTTCCCTTGGCTTATTGGATGAGGGAAAGGCTGTAGATACTGTCTATCTTGGTTTTAGTAAGGCACTTGACATCGTTTCCCATAGCACTCTGCTAGAGAAATGGCTGCTTATGGCTTGGATCAGTGTATGCTTTGCTGGGTTAAAAACTGGTTGGGTGGCCAGGCCCAAAGAGTTGTGGTCAATGGAGTTAAATCCAGTTGGCAGCCAGTCACGAGTGGTTTTCCCCAGGACTCAGTGTAGGGGTCAGTTGGGGTCCCCACCTCAGTTGCAGCCACTCCTGTTTAGCATCTTTCTCAATGACCTAGATGTGAGGACAGAGTGCATCCTTAGTAAATTTGCAGATGACACTAAGCTGAGTGGAAGTGTCAGTCTGCCTGAGGGTAGGGAGGCTCTGCAGGGATCTAGACAGGCTCGATTGATGTGCCAATGCCAGTTGCAGGAGATTCAATAAGGCCAAATGTCAGGTCCTGCACTTTGGCTACAACAACCCCCAGCAGCGCTTCAGGCTTGGGAAGGAGTGGCTGCCCAGCAGAAAGAGACGTGAGGGTGTTGATTGACAGCCAGCTTAATATGAGCCAGCAATGTGCCCAGGTAGCCAAGAGGGCCAATGGCATCCTGGCCTATATAAGGAATTGTGTGGCCAGCAGGAGCAGGATCCTGCCCCTGTGCTTTAGCACTGATGAGGCCTCATCTTGAATACTGCATTGAGTTTTGGGCCCCTCACTACAGAAAGGGCATTGAGCTACTAGAGCAGGTCCAGAGGAGGGTAACAAAGTTGACAAAGGCTTTGGAGCATAGGTCTTATGAAGAGCAGCTGAGGGACTGGGACTGTTCAGCCTAGAGAAAAGGAAGCTGAAGGGAGACCTTATTGCTCTTTACAACTATCTGAAAGGTGGTTGCAAAAAGGTGGGGACGGGTCTGTTCAAAGAAGTTACAAATGGTAGGTCAAAAGAAACAGTCTCAAGTGGCACCAAGGGAGATTTAGATTGGATGTTAGGAAGAATTTCTTCATCTAAAGGGTTGTTGGGCATTGTAACAGGCTGCCCAGGGCAGTGGTGGAGTCACCATCCCTGGAGGTATTTAAGAGTCATATAGATGTAGTACTTAGGGATATGGTTTAGTTAAGGACTTGGTGGTGTTAGGTTAATGGTTGGACTCAATGATCTTGAAGGTCTTTTCCAACCAGGGTAATTCTGTGATTCTGTGATTCCCCCAACATTGGTGGCAAGGCACGTTAGAACAAGTTATGCTGAGTCTGACTAACTGAGTCCAAACTGAGCCTTTCCCATGAAGGGTGGGTGCATGCATCCTCCCATCCAGGCCATAGGCATGGCACAAACAACTAATCATAGAATTATAGAAGAATTTTGGTTGGAAAAGGCCTTTAGGATCATCAAGTCCAATAGTTAACCTAGCACACTGCCAAGTTCACCACTAAACTGTGTCCCTAAGTACCACTTCTACATGTCTTTTACATACCCCCAAAGATGGTGACTCCACCACTTCCCTGAACAGCCTGTTCCAGTACCTGGCAACCCTTTCAGTAGAGAAATGTTGTCCTAATATTCAACCTAAACCTCTCCTGGCACAACTTGAGACTTTCTTCTTGTGCTATCATTTGTTACTTGGGAGAAGTGACATACACCCACCTTGCTACAACCTCATTTCAGGCAGCTGTAGAGAGTGATAAGGTCACCCCTCAGTCTCCTTTTCTCCACACTAAACAAATTCCAGTTCCCTCAACCGAGGGCCAACAAGAAGAGGAGTACTGCTGGACCTTATACTGATACACAAGGAGGTACTAGTTGAGGATGTGAAGTTTGGAGAAGGCTTGGCTGTAGTGATCATGAGAATGTGGAGCTCAGGATCATGTGTAGTATGCACAGAGCATCAAGCAGCATCTCAGCCATGGGCTTCAGAATGGCTAACTTTGACCTCTTCAAGGAACTGCTTGGTGAAATCTCATGGGCTAGAGCACCAGATAGAAGGGGGACCCTAGGGAGCTGGTTTGAGGCACCTTTTCCTCTAAGCTCAAGATCGGAGCATCTCAAAGTGTAAGAAATCAAGTGAGAGAGCCAGGAGACCTGCATGATTGAACAGGGATCTACTGAATAAGATCAAGTGTTACTCATTTGAGACAAATGCAGCACTAATATTTCTGTTTATTTAGGTTAGTTTAAATGGTTACATTTGGACATTAAAAAAAGTCTTCTCTGCTAACTTTCAGAATGGTTTGAAGCAGCAAAAAGACAAGCTTTAAAATAATGCACTTCTGTGGGGTCCTCTTGTGCTTAATCCCTCTTTCAACAATTTCTGTCTCTTTTCGGGGAAAAAGTGCCCCTACTTTGAGGCTCTTGTCATGTCTAAGCATCTTGAGGCACCCAGAAGAGACCAACTCCCTGTGTAACTTGTGCTGACAACTACCCCCTCCATCACCATCACTGACCTTGGGCAAGGTCACTTCAAAGGAAGGGGCCTCATGAGAGGGCTTCTTTTGTCACTTGAAACAGAGCTGGAAATGGGGACATTAAAAAATGTGATTGCAGTGGGACAGAAAAAAAGGAAGTTTCTTTCAAAAAGTAACTTTGAATAGGTTAGTCAGACTAGCATATAAAGATGTACAGAGTATGCAAAGGTAGAGTAGCCAAGGCTTTGCTGTACATTTCTGGGTAATTACACATATCAAGAGGTGATTGTTTTTAATATCAGTTTCATTATCTTGTCTGGATGAATGATACTCAATCCATGCATGACAGCTTTTTTTTGAGTTGGAACCCACCTCAAATAGACATTCTTCCCTACCTGGG